TAAAAATGCTAGATTGCTTTACACAGCATTGGAAAATAAGGAATACCACTAGGAATTTTTTATTGACCTAAAAAAAGCTTTTGACACAGTAGACCACGACATCCTACTCCACAAACGTAATCATTACGGTATAAGAGGCCATGCGCTTGCTTTTTTCAAATCTTACATTACTAATAGGTATCAGTATGGTCACCATTAAAGACACAGCATCAGCAACAGGGCCACTTGATACTGGAGTTCGCAGGGAAGTGCCCTTTGGTCCCCTGCTTTTTCCCATATACATCAATGACCTTCCAAACGTATCCCAACACCTGAAACCCATTCTCTTTGCTGACGACACGACTTATGTCATCTCTCACCCTAATTTTGCCACCCTCAACACCACTGTGAATGAGGAGCTGATCAAAATATCGACTTGGATGACAGCCAATAAACTTACGCTGACAAAACCTACTATATTATGTTTGGTAGCAGAGCAGGAAAATGCACAAATTAACTTTAAAGATTGACAACACTCTAATTACCAAAATAATGGGGGCAAATTCCTAGGCTTATACCTTGACAAAAACCCTGAATTTCAGCACCCATATCCAGCATATAACCAAAAAGTATCCAAAACGGTTGGGATCCTCTCCAAGATCGATACTACGTGCCGCAAAATGCCCTTCTCACACTATACCACTCACTTATTTATCCATACCTCACCTATGCTATTTGTGCTTGGGGATCAACTGCAGCAACACACCTAAAGCCAATAATAACCCAACAAAAAGCTGCAGTAAGAATAATCACTAAATCCCATCCCTGGCAACACCCCCCCCCCACTCTTCATAGACCTAAACTTACTCCCTGTTCAGTACATCCAAAACTTACTTCTGTGCAATCTACATCTACAGGGCCTTAAACTCTAATATCAACCCTTTACCTAAAACGCTTTCTTGATAAATTGTGACAGAACCCACAGGCATAACACCAGACACAAACATCTCTACGACATTCCCGGTGTCCGACTAAACCTTTACAAAATTCAATGTATGTCAAAGGCCCTAAAATCTGGGGAATACCCTACCTGAGAACTCTAGAAATGCAGACACATCATCACCTTCCAAAACTACCATTAGAAAACATCTTATCTCCCTGATACACCCTGTCAACTAACTACACGAATACCACCTGGTGGTTCACACTTACACTCACTGATTCATTTGACCATAAACAGAAATATTAATCTCAATCTTAAAATAATGAATCCTATGATACTCCAATACTGAAACTATGTACTGTGCCAAAACAAAAGCATTTACATTGCTAAACTCACAAACTAGTATTTAGTCACTTAGCCATAATACCAACTTACCTCATAATTTGTAATATTTTACAATTAAGAATAAAACTAAGTCTGCCCGAAATGCCTAGCCATGCTAAGCGTTCTAGTGGTACACTCTGTAATCACTATTTTACTACATGTAAACCACACAATAACCAAATTTCTGTAAACTCAGCATTGTAATCCTTATAGAGAATAAACTTTGAATTTGAATTTGAATTTGAATTCCATTGTCTCTTAGCGTACTCATGGCACCCCTACGTTTCATTGAGGGGGATCTTGCACCCCCTGCTGAGACTTGCTTTCATAGGGAGTGATTTTCGTGTGCAGATTTGAGACTAGTCCCTCTAGGATTTTCCAAATGCATATTATCTTGTATCTTTCTCGCCTGCGTCCCAAGAAGTACAGGCCAAGGGACTTCAACTGTTCCCAGTAATTTAGGTGTTCTATTGTACTAACACGTTCAGTGAAAGTTCTCTGTATATTCTCCAGTCTGTAATTTCTCCTGCATTGCAAGGGGCCGTTATTGTAGAGCAATACTCCAGCCTAGAGAAAACAAGCAGTTTGAAGAGAATCATCACTGTTTTCAATGAATGACACTTTTATGCAGATTCAGGTATCATCAGCAAAGGAGGACACTGGGCTGTGGCTTACATATCTGTCTATGTCAGATATGAGGATAAGGGAAAGGATGGGAGCAAGTACTGTACCTGATGGTACAGAGCTTTCCACTATAGCCACATCTGATTTTGTTTGCTATTACACTTTGTGTTCTATTTCTAGAAAGTTATAGATCCATCTACATAATTATCCTGTTATTCCTTTATCACACATTCTGTGCGCTAATACACCATGATCGCGCTTGTCGAAGGATTTCACAAAGTCTGTGTATACTACATGTCCATTTTGTTTTCCATTGCATCCAGACCATGTCATAGTGGTCCAGTAGTTGTGAGAGGCAGGAGGGACCATCCAAGACCACGTCATAGTAGTCCAGTAGTTGTGAGAGGCAGGAGGGACCATCCAAGACCACGTCATAGTGGTCCAGTAGTTGTGAGAGGCAGGAAGGACCATCCAGACCATGTCATAGTGGTCCAGTAGTTGTGAGAGGCAGGAGGGACCATCCAAGACCATGTCATAGTGGTCCAGTAGTTGTGAGAGGCAGGAGCGACCAACCAGACCATGTCATAGTGGTTCAGTAGTTGTGGTGTCGGGATACTGGTGGGTGTTGGGGGTAGTAATGGGATTGTGGTGTAGAGATACTGGTGGGTGTTGGGGGTAGTAATGGGATTGTGGTGTATGGATACTGGTGGGTGTTGGGGTAGTAATGGGGTTGTGGGGGAGGGATACTGGTGGGTGTTGGGGTAGTAATGGGATTGTGGTGTAGGGATACTGGTGGGTGTTGGGGTAGTAATGGGGTTGTGGGGGAGGGATACTGGTGGGTGTTGGGGTAGTGATGGGGTTGTGGGGGAGGGATACTGGTGGGTGTTGGGGTAGTAATGGGGTTGTGGGGGAGGGATACTGGTGGGTGTTGGGGGTAGTAATGGGGTTGTGGTGGAGGGATACTGGTGGGTGTTGGGGTAGTAATGGGGTTGTGGTGGAGGGATACTGGTGGGTGTTGGGGGTAGTAATGGGGTTGTGGTGGGGGGATACTGGTGGGTGTTGGGGTAGTAATGGGGTTGTGGTGGAGGGATACTGGTGGGTGTTGGGGGTAGTAATGGGGTTGTGGTGTAGGGATACTGGTGGGTGTTGAGGTAGTAATGGGGTTGTGGTGTAGGGATACTGGTGGGTGTTGGGGTAGTAGTGGGGTTGTGGTGTAGGGATACTGGTGGGTGTTGGGGTAGTAATGGGGTTGTGGTGTAGGGATACTGGTGGGTGTTGGGGTAGTAATGGGGTTGTGGTGTAGGGATACTGGTGGGTGTTGGGGTAGTAATGGGGTTGTGGTGGAGGGATACTGGTGGGTGTTGGGGTAGTAATGGGGTTGTGGTGTAGGGATACTGGTGGGTGTTGGGGTAGTAATGGGGTTGTGGTGGAGGGATACTGGTGGGTGTTGGGGTAGTAATGGGGTTGTGGTGTAGGGATACTGGTGGGTGTTGGGGTAGTAATGGGGTTGTGGTGTAGGGATACTGGTGGGTGTTGGGGTAGTAATGGGGTTGTGGTGTAGGGATACTGGTGGGTGTTGGGGTAGTAATGGGGTTGTGGTGTAGGGATACTGGTGGGTGTTGGGGTAGTAATGGGGTTGTGGTGGAGGGATACTGGTGGGTGTTGGGGTAGTAATGGGGTTGTGGTGTAGGGATACTGGTGGGTATTGGGGTAGTAATGGGGTTGTGGTGTAGGGATACTGGTGGGTGTTGGGGTAGTAATGGGGTTGTGGTGTAGGGATACTGGTGGGTGTTGGGGTAGTAATGGGGTTGTGGTGTAGGGATACTGGTGGGTGTTGGGGTAGTAATGGGATTGTGGTGTAGGGATACTGGTGGGTGTTGGGGTAGTAATGGGGTTGTGGTGGAGGGATACTGGTGGGTGTTGGGGTAGTAATGGGGTTGTGGTGTAGGGATACTGGTGGGTGTTGGGGTAGTAATGGGGTTGTGGTGGAGGGATACTGGTGGGTGTTGGGGTTTAAGAGGTATACAAATTTCTCTATGCATTACAAAATGATGTAGTTTAGATGCAATAAAACATTGTTAAACACTTAAGTAAGTCACCAGTGTGCAGTGCACTTGGGGAACACTTATCCTAATACTTAAATTGTACTTACGATTTAGACTCAGTCTGTTAAGTAGGATTTATTATGCAGTTAACTACAATTATATCTACAGTTAGAAATTAACAAATAATGGTTAGAAAAGTATGAGTTTTTACTTCCAAGTGATTCACTGATATTCTGTTTAGTGGATTATTAATATTATAGTTATAGGTAAACGCTAAACCCAGAAGGGTCATACAGCGCTGTTCTGTTGAGTGGAATGATTAAAGAGAGATGGTGAAGATACAGCAAGTTACTTAGTTACAGGAGAAATACAATGGAACAAGACAGAAGAACAGGTTGGCTGTTGGGGTTGGGGAGGCTGTTAGGGGAACAGGAGGGGTGTAGCGATTCGGGAGGGGAGTTTTGGGGTTGGTGAGGGGTGTTGGGAGAGGGAAGGGGAGTTGGGGAAGGGGTAAGGGGTGCTGGGAGAGGATAGGGGAGCTGGGGAAGGGGTATAGCGTGTTGGGAGAGGGAAGAGGAGTTGGGGAAGGGGTAAGGAGTGCTGGGTGAGGGTTGGGGTGTTGGGGAAGGGGTAAGATGATGGTATGTTTGGCTCTACATGGGTGTACCCATGGGAAGGGGGTCTCCCCAGACCTAACTAAGACTAGTCTGTCCCCGTTTCTTTCTAGAGACCATTATTTTCAGTATATTCCCCCAGTCATAACAATGTTGATCAGAGTACTGAGAGCAAGACTCGCCATAAAGCATATGCCCTTCTAGCTCTACAACACCAACAACAATGTCCATTTCTGCTGTTATTTTTTTCCATTATTACACATCATAACCTCGTCACCAATTACTTAACTATACACATTAGTGTACAACACAATACCTATTATCTTAAAACCTTCTCTATGTATAATTAAAACTAATTTCCTGTATATTTTTTGCAGTTGAAATAAGAAGAGAACCAAAAGTTCAGTCATGAATGTTGTTTGTGATACACAAGCCAAGTGTTGTAGTGTTGTTATTGTGTTATTGTGGCTCCTCTCAAGTGTTAAACTCTCTTAGTGTGTTACATGAGGCAACACTGTCAAGCAACACACATTAATATAATCACAACCTCAATAATATTAACATAAACGCCATTAATTGAGGTGTTTGTTGGGCGCCGCTACAGCCTCGGATCACCACTATTTTCCCCAAGTTATTTCTACCAGCAACACTGGCTTGAGATACAGCTCCTGGACCCGCCCCTTCACTCAGCCAGTTGTGTTGGTGTGGCTTGAGATACAGCTCCTGGACCCGCCTATTGGGTGTACTCGACCAGTGTTTACCAGACTCGAGCTCCTGGATTAACATACCTACTCTTGAAGCTGTGACTTGAGTTATCCTGAGTGTGGGTTATCCCACTTGAGTTATCCTGAGTGTGGATTATCCCACTTGAGTTATCCTGAGTGTGGGTTATCCCACTTGAGTTATCCTGAGAGTGGGTTATCCCACTTGAGTTATCCTGAGTGTGGATTATCCCACTTGAGTTATCCTGAGTGTGGGTTATCCCACTTGAGTTATCCTGAGAGTGGGTTATCCCACTTGAGTTATCCTGAGAGTGGGTTATCCCACTTGAGTTATCCTGAGAGTGGGTTATCCCACTTGAGTTATCCTGAGAGTGGGTTATCCCACTTGAGTTATCCTGAGAGTGGGTTATCCCACTTGAGTTATCCTGAGAGTGGGTTATCCCACTTGAGTTATCCTGAGAGTGGGTTATCCCACTTGAGTTATCCTGAGTGTGGGTTATCCCACTTGAGTTATCCTGAGAGTGGGTTATCCCACTTGAGTTATCCTGAGAGTGGGTTATCCCACTTGAGTTATCCTGAGAGTGGGTTATAAGTGAGAGGCAGAAGAGAAGTGTGTTGAGGGAGAAGTAAGACATGAGGCTGATGCCTCACTAACTCTGGTCAAGACAACATCGCTGCAGACATGTCGTCCCACTTAGCAAACAAGTACGACTTCTTCAGTTGTCACTTTTCCTCACCACAATATTAATAACATCGGTGTAGTATTTGTAATTTCATTTGTTTGTGTTATTAACTGACATTAATGTAGCCATGCTACATGATACACTAAGAGTTCCCATCTTGGAGTTAGTCGTGAAAACTTGCTGTATATATTGTGTGTGTGTGTGTGTGTGTGTGTGTGTGTGTGTGTGTGTGTGTGTGTGTGTGTGTGTGTGTGTGTGTGTGTGTGTGTGTGTGTGAGATTATATATATATATATATATATATATTATATATACTGTGTGTATATATATATATATATATATATATATATATATATATATATATATATATATATATATATATATATATATATATATTATATATATATATATACGTACAGTGGACCCCCGGTTTCCGATATTATTTCATTCCAGAAGTATGTTCAGGTGCCAGTACTGACCGAATTTGTTCCCGTAAGGAATATTGTGAATTAGATTAGTCCATTTCAGACCCCCAAACATACACATACAAATGCACTTACATAAATACACTTACATAATTGGTCGCATTGGGAGCTGATCGTAAACCGGGGTTCCACTGTATATTAAAAGCAGGAGGGGACATAGTGTTGGAGTGGTTGGTATTTTTGTTTAATAAATGTATGAAAGAGGGGAAGGTGCCTAGGGATTGGCGGAGAGCATGTATAGTCCCTTTATATAAAGGGAAGGGGGACAAAAGAGATTGTAAAAATTATAGAGGAATAAGTTTACCGAGTATACCAGGAAAAGTGTACGGTAGGGTTATTATTGAAAGAATTAGAGGTAAGGCAGAATGTAGAATTGCGGATGAGCAAGGAGGTTTCAGAGTGTGTAGGGGATGTGTAGATCAAGTGTTTACATTGAAGCATATATGTGAACAGTATTTAGATAAAGGTAGGGAAATTTTTATTGCATTTATGGATTTAGAAAAGGCATATGATAGAGTGGATAGGGGAGCAATGTGGCAGATGTTGCAAGTACAATAGGTGGTAAGTTACTAAATGCTGTAAAGAGTTTGTAAAGAGTTTTTATGAGGATAGTGAGGCTCAGGTTAGGGTGTGTAGAAGAGAGGGAGAATACTTCCCGGTAAAAGTAGGTCCTAGACAGGGATGTGTAATGTCACCATGGTTGTTTAATATAAAATATAGATGGGGTTGTAAGAGAAGTAAATGCTAGGGTGTTCAGGAGAGGGGTGGGATTAAATTATGGGGAATTAAATACAAAATGGGAAGTGACAGTTACTTTTTGCTGATGATACTGCACTTATGGGAGATTCTAAAGAAAAATTGCAAAGGTTAGTGGACGAATTTGGGAATGTTTGTAAAGGTAGAAAGTTGAAAGTGAACATAGAAAAGAGTAAGGTGATGAGGGTATCAAATGATTTAGATAAAGAAAAATTGGATATCAAATTGGGGAGGAGTATGGAAGAAGTGAATGTTTTCAGATACTTGGGAGTTGACGTGTCAGCGGATGGATTTATGAAGGATGAGGTTAATCATAGAATTGATGAAGGAAAAAAGATGAGTGGTGCATTGAGGTATATGTGGAGGCAAAAAATGTTGTCTATGGAAGCAAAGAAGGGAATGTATGAAAGTATAGTAGTACCAACACTCTTATATGGGTGTGAAGCTTGGGTGGTAAATGCAGCAGCGAGGAGACGGTTGGAGGCAGTGGAGATGTCCTGTCTAAGGGCAATGTGTGGTGTAAATATTATGCAGAAAATTCGGAGTGTGGAAATTAGAAGGTGTGGAGTTAATAAAAGTACTATTAGTCGGAGGGCTGAAGAGGGTTTGTTGAGGTGGTTTGGTCTTTTAGAGAGAATGGATCAAAGTAGAATGACATGGAGAGCGTATAAATCTGTAGGGGAAGGAAGGTGGGGTAGGGGTCGTCCTCGAAAAGGTTGGAGGGAGGGGGTAAAGGAGGTGTTGTGGGCGAGGGGTTTGGACTTCCAGCAAGCATGCGTGAGCATGTTAGATAGGAGTGAATGGAGACAAATGGTATTTGGGTCCTGACGATCTGTTGGAATGTGAGCAGGGTAATATTTAGTGAAGGTATTCAGAGAAACCGGTTATTTTATATAACCGGACTTGAGTCCTGGAAATGGGAAGTACAATGCCTGCACTCTAAAGGAGGGGTTTGAGATATTGGCAATTTGAGAGATATATTGTGTATTTTTATACGTATAAACTTCTAAACTGTTGTATCCTAGGCTCCTCTGCAAAAACATTGATTGTATGTGAGTGAGGTGAAAGTGTTGAATGATGATGAAAGCATTTTCTTTTTGGGGTTTTTTCTTTCTCTCTGGGTCACCCTGCCTTGGTGGGAGACGGGTGACTTGTTGAAAAAAAAAATGTATATATTATATATATACACATATGTATACATACATATGGTTACAATAATATACTATATGTACTGCTTGTAGAGGCTAGTACACCAAACGGGGATAAGAGTGAAATTAGCTTCGAGGCACCCACACCACTGTATGTCCTCGGACTAAGGGTAACACACCTAGCTTGGCTTGGTGCTTGGTTCTTGTAGCATTGTGTGGTTCAGTGGGTTAAGGCATCATGTGATTTTCTCTCACCATGAGACAGGGCCAAAACTACACGTGTTGGTATTGATTCAATACCACTCGTTCGTAGTCACAATAAAATACATGTATATACTGCGTGTGGAGGCTAGTATACCAAAAGGGGATAAGAGTGAAATTAGCTTAGAGGCACCCACATCACCGTATGTCCTTGGACTAAGGGTAACACACCTAGCTTGGCTGGGTGCTTGGTTCTTGTAGGATTTTGTGGTTCAGTGGGTTAAGGCATCATGTGATTTTTGCTCCCACGAGGCAGGGCTAAAACTATGTGGGTTCGAATCCTTGGCTAGTCGCAGTGTTATTATTGATTCAGTACCACTTGTTTGTCGTCACAGTAATTGTATATATACTTATGTATACATGTGTACTTATGTATGTACATGTATGTATATAAAAACAATGTATAATAAAAATTTACTTCTCAAAATCACTACTATTAAGTAGTCTGTTAGCATTATGTTTGGTCTCCCTGAAATGCCTCGGCATGATAGTGGCTTTCTCTGTAGTTAACAAATCTAAATTGTAATCACACATTGTAAACATTATAAAGAAATAAAAATCTGTATATATGTGTATGTATGTGACTGTATATGCAATGCAATTGCAAATGGGTGATTTAACAATGCAAGACAAGCCACGAAGGATGGAAATGTTTAGCTCAAGATCTTTAACATGTTTCCATGTGTCATCAGGAGCTATGCAAGTTGCAAGAGCAGCAACAGGTGGAATGATGGGAAGTTTCCTCAGAGTAAGGTATTGTGGCTGGCATCACCATGCTACCTTACTCTGAGGAAACTTCCCCTCATTCCATGTGTTGCTGCTCTTGCAACATTGCATAGCTCCTGATGACACACGGAGACATGTGAAAGATCTTGAGCTAAACATTTCCATCCCTCGTGGCGTGTGTAATATCTTGTATGTATGTGAACTGATTGTCATAATAAATGACTGTACCTACCTATCTGGAGTCTACCTGGAGGGCATTCCGGGGATCAACGTGCCCGTGGCCCGGTCCACAACTAGGCCTCCCGGTGGATCAGGACCTGATCAACGAGGCTGTTACTGCTCGCCGCATGCAATCCAACATTCGAACCACCGCCCAGCTGATCCGGCACCGTCTTTAGGTATCTGTCCAGCTCCCTCTTGAAGACAACCAGGGGTCTTCTTGTAACCGAATAAAGAAAGATGGATGAGAGGCTTGACCTGTGGTCTCAAGGTCAACAGGCCCAGTACTCCAGGGAAGAGTGTAGTAGAGAAACAGGACTGAAATAGTGTGAAGATTATCGAGTAGACTACAATAATAACTGTTGAAGACTAGGAGTTTAGTGCTTTCATCTAGTGGTGATGAGCATGGATGCTATTAACAGATCAGTCTTTATTAGTATGTGTACTGTAATAGGTTGTTAATCTTTCAGGATGGCTATGCCCAAACGCAAACGGCAAGATGGAGATGAAGTGGGGGGAGGCGCATCTACCCCAGCTACTGAGGGACGACCAAAAAGACGAAGGAATGATACAACTTTAGTGAGTGAATGAGTGTGGATAGCTGATTTTCTGGCAATTGTTATATTGCATGTCGCGTTATTTACTGTATACACAGTAGCTACGTTATGATAGAGGCAGTAATGTTATTTTAATTTATGAAGTAATTGTTTTCTTGTTTTAGGCATTAGTAAAACTATTATAGTGAAATGTTTTTTTTTATATTCTTTCTGAAATACAGACGCTTCTCACTTAATGACCTACCTGTTTAATGACCACACGAATTTGTGACCAGCTCTCCGACCAGTTGGTATTGTATGCTGTATGAGAAGTTTAGTCGTGGAAATTTGCTAATGTGTAATTTAGATATTGAAGTAGAAGATATTGAAGAATTAGTGGAAGAGCTAACTAACGAAGATTTAATAGAGTTGGAAGCACAGCAGCACTAGGAAGAGGAACAAGAGGAGGAAACAATGGAAGAAGTATAAAAGAAGTTCGCTGTAAAGGGGTTAGCTGGTGTGTTCTGCAGCTATATTAGAACTAGAAGGTATGGACCCGAGTGCTGAACGGTTCAGAAAAGTGGAATGCCAATTGGATGAACTCTTACGATACTATTGTGAAATTTGTGAAGAAAATTACAAAGCAGACCACACTAATGGGGTTCTTCTCGAAAGCTACACCATGGACCCCAACCCCTACAAACCCTTGGATTTCCTTGCCGTCGTTTCCCTTACTCGGGCCCTCTACAGCTCCTGATAACCTTTCTGATAACTCTAATGATGATGCTCCTTGCTTATCGACCAGTTCGCTTAACCACCTAGTCGCAGGAACAGAACTCAGTCGTTAAGTGAGGAGTGCCTGTTTATAAATAAATTGCATAAAGTAAATCCTTGATTTCATGGATTAACCCTTTGACTGTCACAAGCCCCTTTCTGAAACTGTCATTCGGTGTCGCAAAAGTTTTGGAAAAAAAAAATTTTTTTCTTATGAAATGATAGAGAATCTTTTCCCGATGGTAATGACACCAAAAGTACGAAATTTGGTCGAAAACTCACGGAATTACGCTCCTGCGAAGTTAGCAGTCTTGGCGACATATACGCATCGGCAATTTCGCCGACTTTGAGCCCTGCTTTTGGCCAATTCCGTTGTTCCAGTTGACCAAACTCATAGCTATTTCTTTAGAACTCCATTTTTTCTATCAGTTGAGTACAAGAAACTGCCCATTTACCGATTTGAACTACCCAATAAAATGGTCAGAAATTGGCAATTTGGCCAATTTCATGCAAATTAAGAAAGATGTCAATTTCAAAATAGGGTCCAGAATAAACAATGTAGACATTCTTGGCACTAAAATAGCATATCCTCTGTTCATTAGTCATGTCTCTAGGCCCCTCTTATATTACTATTGCTTTCTATTTTGATTTTTTATTCATACAAAAAAAAATACAAAATTTACTGTTATGCAGACTACTGCATTATTGTAAAAATGGTATAAATAATACCAGTGCACTAGGGAAAGAATATTAGACTCCCCAGTTGACGTGTATTGGACGTGTGGTGTACTTTGCTTACTCCTGAACATTGGTAAAAATCGAACATTTCCGCTACTTTGAGCTCAATTTTAAAGTCGTTTTCATTGTTAAAGTAATGAAAATCATCTCTATTTCTGTAATATGTTTTCCATTTTATCACCTGAGACCATGAAAATGAAAATACAACGATAAATTCTATACGAAAATACACCTCAAAGTCGGCGTTATAATCCAAAAAAAGTCAGTTTGTTTTTTTCTCGTTATGCACTGCATGCTGCAGAATTTTATGTGGTGCACACTGACCACACAGACCCATTCTCTCACATGTGGGCCTACCAGCTTTCTCCTGCTTGATTTGAAGGTGCTATAATTTACGCGTTTAAATATGCCAGAAACAGTGGCGCATAAGACGTGTATATATATATAAATATTTTTTTTTTATTATTATTATCACACTGGCTGATTCCCACCAAGGCAGGGTGGCCCGAAAAAGAAAAACTTTCACCATCATTCACTCCATCACTGTCTTGCCAGAAGGATGCTTTACACTACAGTTTTTAAACTGCAACATTAACACCCCTCCTTCAGAGTGCAGGCACTGTACTTCCCATCTCCAGGACTCAAGTCCGACCTGCCGGTTTCCCTGAACCCCTTCATAAATGTTACTTTGCTCACACTCCAACAGCACGTCAGGTATTAAAAAAACATTTGTCTCATTCACTCCTATCAAACACGCTCACGCATGCCTGCTGGAAGTCCAAGCCCTCGCACACAAAACCTCCTTTACCCCCTCCCTCCAACCTTTCCTAGGCCGACCCCTACCCCGCCTTCCTTCCACTACAGACTGATACACTCTTGAAGTCATTCTGTTTTGCTCCATTCTCTCTACATGTCTGAACCACCTCAACAACCTTCCTCAGCCCTCTGGACAACAGTTTTGGTAATCCCGCACCTCCTCCTAACTTCCAAACTACGAATTCTCTGCATTATATTCACACCACACATTGCCCTCAGACATGACATCTCCACTGCCTCCAGCCTACTCCTCGCTGCAACATTCATCACCCATGCTTCACACCCATATAAGAGTGTTGGTAAAACTATACTCTCATACATTCCCCTCTTTGCCTCCAAGGACAAAGTTCTTTGTCTCCACAGACTCCTAAGTGCACCACTCACCCTTTTCCCCTCATCAATTCTATGATTCACCTCATCTTTCATAGACCCATCCGCTGACACGTCCACTCCCAAATATCTGAATACATTTACCTCCTCCATACTCTCTCCCTCCAATCTGATATCCAATCTTTCATCACCTAATCTTTTTGTTATCCTCATAACCTTACTCTTTCCTGTATTCACCTTTAATTTTCTTCTTTTGCACACCCTACCAAATTCATCCACCAATCTCTGCAACTTCTCTTCAGAATCTCCCAAGAGCACAGTGTCATCAGCGAAGAGCAACTGTGACAACTCCCACTTTATGTGTGATTCTTTATCTTTTAACTCCACGCCTCTTGCCAAGACCCTTGTATTTACGTATGTATACAACGTAAACAGTAAAGTGGGAGTTGTCACAGTTGCTCTTTGCTGATGACACTGTGCTCTTGGGAGATTCTGAAGAGAAGTTGCAGAGATTGGTGGATGAATTTGGTAGGGTGTGCAAAAGAAGAAAATTGAAAGTGAATACAGGAAAGAGTAAGGTTATGAGGATAACAAAAAGATTAGGTGATGAAAGATTGGATATCAGATTGGAGGGAGAGAGTATGGAGGAGGTGAATGTATTCAGATATTTGGGAGTGGACGTGTCAGCGGATGGGTCTGTGAAAGATGAGGTGAATCATAGAATTGATGAGGGGAAAAGGGTGAGTGGTGCCACTTAGGAGTCTGTGGAGACAAAGAACTTTGTCCTTGGAGGCAATAAGGGAAATGTATGAGAGTATAGTTTTACCAACGCTCTTATATGGGTGTGAAGCATGGGTGATGAATGTTGCAGCGAGGAGAAGGCTGGAGGCAGTGGAGATGTCATGTCTGAGAGCAATGTGTGGTGTGATATAAATGCAGAGAATTCGTAGTTTGGAAGTTAGGAGGAGGTGCGAGATTACCAAAACTGTTGTCCAGAGGGCTGAGAAGGGTTGTTGAGGGGTTCGGACATGTGGAGAGAATGGAGCGAAACAGAATAACTTCAAGAGTGTATCAGTCTGTATGGAAGGAAGGCGGGGTAGGGGTCGGCCTAGGAAAGGTTGGAGGGAGGGGGTAAAGGAGGTTTTGTGTGCGAGGGGCTTGGACTTCCAGCAGGCATGCGTGAGCGTTGTTTGATAGGAGTGAATGGAGACAAATGGTTTTTAATACTTGACGTGCTGTTGGAGTGTGAGCAAAGTAACATTTATGAAGGGATTCAGGGAAACCGGCAGGCCGGACTTGAGTCCTGGAGATGGGAAGTACAGTGTCTGCACTCTGAAGGAGGGGTGTTAATGTTGCAGTTTAGAAACTGTAGTGTAAAGCACCCTTCTGGCAAGACAGTGATGGAGTGAATGATGGTGAAAGTTTTTCTTTTTCGGGCCACCCTGCCTTGGTGGGAATCGGCCAGTGTGATTTAAAAAAAAAAAAAAAAAAAAAAAACAGTAAAAGGGTTAATAGAGAGGAGCGGGTGGCCAGTAATGAGCTTGTTTTCCCATGGTCTTGACAGTACCCAACAGTTCTGTAACCATTGAACATTTTTCATAGTTTCTGAATTGGTTGACCCAACACATTTTGTTCTATATTTCCGAAGTTTATGTGTACGTGTGGAACTAGACAATACCTGAATTTTTGCCGATACTGATATGTACCAGATTTTTTGGTTGATACAGATATTAATGTTTTACTATACGGTATATTTATTTTTAAAATTATGACGACTATGTTCAGTATATAAGGAAATGCTTATTACACTAAGAGCATTAAATAGCATAGAAGATTAAATATTAAATTACTTAATTTCTGAGATGACAATGTCATTACTAATAACTAGGCCTGTTGTTACTTAGTATTTGTCAAAGGCATTTGTTGACTTTTTTGTTTGTATGTTTTTGTGTGGTTTTTGTCTGTGTTTTATGTGGTTTTTTTCCTCTCACCTATGCATGTTTGCATGAGAGTATATGAGTAACCCTCACAATAATGAGGTAGTGTTAATTTTACATTTTTAAACAAACATATTAATATTTCAGAAGTGTGTGTGTGTGTGTGTGTGTGTGTGTGTGTGTGTGTTTCTTTATTTTTGTTTTATATATATGCTTGCTTTGCCTTCAGGTTGACACAATACAATACATATTTGATGCATTAAGAAACAAGAAGAAGGATGATGAGACGTACCTGTGTGAAGCGTTCCTTCGTGTGCCACGTAAGAAGACAGAACCTCAGTATTATGATATGATTAAGATACCAATTGATATGCTAAAGATTCAGCAGAAGATTAAAACAGATGTTTATAATGAATTAGAAGAGTTTTGCAAAGATGTGCAGTTGCTGGTGGACAATGCCAAACTTTATTATGCCAAGGTATAGTGTCATAGGTTTTCTTCTGCATGAAATTTTGAGACCATATTTGTATAGGAAACCAAGTATATGTTTGTGGGGTTATATTCCTACAAATATGATGGAACCCCACTATCTGTGGATTTGGTATCTGCAGTTTCAATTATCCACAGTTTACAATGGCCTGAAAATAACCCTTAGTTTTGCTTAATAATGGCCCCAAAGTGCAAAAATATGATGCTGATAGTTTTTTAAAGCCTAAGAGAATCTGTGAAATGCTTCCCATCAGTGAATAGTGCTAATTCTAGATTTTGTATAATTTATCAATTAAACTTTATCATAGTTATCTGTGTAAATGAAAAATGACTTATATGTAGAGTTTGCTACTAGCCACAGTAGGTCTTGGAATGTATCCCCTGTGGATATAGGGGAATTACTGTATTATAAAAACTTGAAACTACAGTGCCTCTTCTCCCCATCTATATTGTGCATTCAGTAGTATTCTCACTCTGGCCTTCACTCTAGCCAATATTTTCAGTGCATTTATCCTGAAAAGTTCTTGATTTTAGTCAACAGAGGAGTACAAAGATGCATGTGAGTTGTGGGCAATCTTCATGGTGGCGAAGGACAAAGCTCCTGACGAGATCAGCAAGGAGAAACTTCGTCAACAGCAGTTGGAAGATGATGAACGCCATGGCAAGAGAGTATGTACCTTACATTGGGATTTTGTAATTTTGTCTAAATTTTGAAGGCTAGTGTTAAAGAAGTTTCTGTAGCTTCATTTCATGTACAGTTCTCCCTCAACATTCGCGAGGGTTAGGGGATCAAGAGCCTCGCGAATGTTGAAAAACCGTGAATGTTTGGTTCCCCAATATATTGTAGGGAAATATAATACAATACTGCTTCCTTAACTTGTTGAACCATGAACAATCATAAAATACATGAAACGTCGTAAATTGTACTAAATATATACATGTTATGCTTTAATAACATGTATGTTATTAAATACCACAGACTCCACCAATGCCTCCACCACTTCCCCAACCACTGCGAGTCCCTACTACCCTCCCTCCGACCCCCGCAACTGGCATCCAGCCCTCCCACCACTCAGTGTGGTGAGTGTTTTGTTTGTTCATTATTTGCTATTAAACTACAGTATAAATAATGTAAACCCATTCATGACTGCATATTGGAATGGCTATTCGGACAGGTATTGGACGGTGACATCATGTGTTTACTCTTGAACACAGCAAAGAATCAAACATTTCTGCTACTGCTAATAATAACAATAGTAATAATAATAATAATAATAATAATAATAATAATAATAATAATAATAATACGATATAATTGAAGAAGGAAATTGTACAAAAATACGAGGGAGCGGTTGACACATCGTCAGTGTGGCTTTGTTTATGCTGGAGTGAACATTAGTCTCCCTGCTCTTCCAAACATTTCACAATAATTCAGCGGTTGAGGCAGTGGTATTTAATAACATATATGTTATAAATAATAATAGTACATATTAATAACATGTATTATTATTATTAATAACATGTATGTTATTAAATACCACTGCCTCAATCGCTGCCTCACCCACTGCCTCAGTCGCTGCTTCAACAGTTGCCTCAATCGCTGCCTCAATCGCTGCCTCAACAGCTGCCTCAGTGACCACTGCCTCAATCACTGCCTCAACAGCTGCCTCAACCACTGCCTCTACCACTCCAGTCGCACTCAATCTACAAGTACCAAACACAATGAATTATTGTGAAATGTTTGGAAGAGCAGGGAGACTAATGTTCACTCCAGCATAAACAAAGCCACACTGACGATGTGTCAACCACTCCCTCGTATTTTTGTACAACTTCTTCAATTACTGTATATCGTATTTATTATTATTATTACTATTATTATTATTACTATTGTTATTATTAGCAGTAGCAGAAATGTTTGATTCTTTGCTGTGTTCAAGAGTAAACACATGATGTCACTGTCTAATACCTGTCCGAATAGCCATTCCAATATGCAGTCATGAATGGGTTTACATTATTTATACTGCAGTTTAATAGCAAATAATGAACAAACAAAACACTCACCACACTGAGTGGTGGGAGGGCTGGCTGCCAGTTGCGGGGGTCGGTGGGAGGGTAGTAGGGACTCGCAGGTGGCGGGAAACTTGAATATGATTTGGCGGCTGGGAATTTGGTGGCTGGGAATTTGGCGGCTGGGAATTTGGTGGCTGGGAATTTGGTGGCTGGGAATTTGGCAGTTGGGAATTCGCGAATGTGTGATGCCCGCGAAAGCTGAAAACGTGAATGTTGAGGGAGACCTGTATAACAAAGACACTCGGAGCAGAAGAAGCCTTTATATTGACTGTTTCACTCGCAGGTGAGCTCAACTGAATGAAAGATCCCAGTATAGACTTACCCTGCAGTGACTACCTGGTTTACTGTGCCTCTTGGTATCTTTTCTTCTTTTCAAATTAGCTTCACTTAGTATATGAAATTTAATTTTTGTAATAGACTTCATGCATGTTATGACTGGCCAGATGAATTTTTTTTTTTTTCAAGGTTCCTCTGTCTTTTTTTTTTTCTAAAGAAAAACAGTTAAGTTGCTGAGGAATCAGATGCAGACAAGTCACTGCAGTCACCTAGAGAAAGTTTTGCAAGCACATGTGACATAATTCATGTTTTTACCATCTTTTGCATTTATGTAAAGAGCATGTGTATATTTTATTGCTTCTGTCACATTAACCTTATCACTCGCTCAATAGCTGTCTTGCCAGAAGTGTGCAGACATCATGATTCAAATGTGATGAGAATCATTTATGGCAGGTGTTGCAAATGTATGGAATAAGTATTAGGTTATTAAAAGTAGTAAGGGATTACAGCCTCTCCTCACTTAGCGACGTACTTGTTTACTGACGACTCGGACTTACGACGGGCTCTGACCAGTATGCATATCTAAATAATGTATATTAGACCTGATTTCCTCTATTCTGATGATTACAATATACAGTACACTACTGTATAAACATTTCAAAATATACTAAAAATGTTATAAGTGGTGCAAAGGTGACATTAAAACAATATCCAAGATGGTTGACACAAACCCACAATCACTGTAGTATGCTCCTTGCTTAGCGACGAATTTATTTACTGACGTGGTCTTAGGAACAGAACTCCATCGTTAAGTGAGGAGAGGCTGTATTATGGGGTGAAGGAGAGGGTTTGGATAGGAGAGAGGGAGATTTAGTTTTTCTAGTAAATGTAGATCCTAAACCTATTGTGCACATACTGTATATTAGACATACTGCATATTAAACCATTGTAGTGTAATATACAGTGTATGTGAGTGTATATGTGAAGGGATTTAGAGAAACCAGTTAGCTGGACTTGAGTCCTGGAAATGGGAAGTTCAATGCCTGCACTTTAAAGGAGGGGTTTAGGACATTGGCAGTTTGGAGGGACGTCTAAACTGTTGTATCTGAGTGCCTGTGCAAAGACAGTGATTATGTATGAGTGATGGTGAAAGTGTTGAATGATGTTGAAATTTTTTTTTTCTTTTTGGGTCACCCTGCTTTGGTGGGAAACGGCCGACGTGTAAAAAAAAAAAATGGTATTGTACGAGAAATGAATACAGTAATGTTGGAGATAATGGCTCTTGATATGAATAGGTACATCTTACATTTGCTTTTGCCAGTAACAGTACTTTTGAAAGAGGAGCAGTTATATACTATGTATTTTTTTTTTTTTCAACAAGTCTGCTTGAGTCCTGGTGGTGTATGCATTCTGAAAGTGGGGTGAGAATATTGCAGTCAGATGGGTAATCTGATTGTGATGTCAGCACACTTCTGGAAAGATGGTGATTGAGTGTTGGTGGATGTATTTTCTTCTTTACATCTAGCAGCAGTGGTAGTAGATGACCATTGAAGTAAAAGAAAGAACCTAAGTTTGTGGAGAATGAGCTCATGCTCTTGGTCCTGCTTCTTAACTTTTGACAAACTGATGTGAAAGCTCTGATGTACTTAAGTTTGAACACGTGTATGAAATCTGTGCTTTCATTATCAGTTTCATTCCATATCTTTATCCCACACTGAAAAAATGTTATACATTTGGTTTGGACAGTGCTTCTGTTTCCTCTTGCAGAACCCATGGTGACACTTCGTCAGGTCCCGTTGCCTTTGAAGTTTCCAGCCCATGAAATTTTTTGTCACTTTCCTTATTGTGTGTATGGTGTCCAGTACCTTTCTGTGCACTCTTTTCACTAGATTTTCTGGTATTGCTCATTTCTCTTGAAGACTTCTTAAAACATTTGTTTAACACTTTGCAGACTTGTCATTTTTTGTGAGCTCTTCTTTTTTAGTCAGATAATCTGGTCTTAGTTTTTTTTTTTTTTTTTTTATTTGGTCTGATGTGGTTGTGAACCAGTTTTGGCTCAGACTTGGCCTTCCTTGCTATGCCATTCTTAAATTGTTACTCAGCCTCTTCTCTTGCGCATGCTTAATCGTTTCTAGCTGATCTCCTCAATTCTCTGTCCTGATCTGTCCTTTGCCTTCTATAATATTTCCACATTCTTATTCTTCTGTTTTGCATCTTGGGTTGACCTGAGGTCTAACTTTGTCTTTTCTTTTCTGTTTCCCCTTTTTCTGGGTATGAAGTTCTTCTCTGCCTCCTGGAAATTTACAACATCTCATTTGCTAACTTTCCTTGCAGCTCACTTTCCCACTACACAACATTCAGGAATTCTTTTATCCCTCTGTAGTTCCTCCTTCTAAAGTTTGGCCTCTTGCACTATCCACCTGCCATTCTTCCCTCCACCTTTAGTTCCATCAAGTATTCAAATTCAGTACTGTATTGTCCCTAGCACCCATGGGGGCTCTTGCTGTATTACACCCATATCAGACATACTTGAGGTAAATACTAGGTTCAGTCTTACTGGTTCATCACCTTTTCTCTCTGCTAACTCACAAGATGTTTCCTAACGGCTTCCATTAATTTAGCTTGTGTTTGCATTTAGCCCTCCGTGAGTGCGTGTGCATGTGTACGTGTGTGTGTGCACATGCATGCATGCATTCATGCACACACTTGCTTACTGCAGTTGTTTATTTCTCACTGCATTTATGTTACAGCGGGGTCGACCAACCAAGACAACATTGGCTATGTCATCACCCATGATTCTGGAAGAGGACGGTGAGCCAATGACTATGGAAGATGCTATTGAGGAACTGTATGGGGCTGTAATGACTGCTATGGACTCAGAGGGTCGTTTATACTCTTATGATTTCCGGTTTCTTCCCTCGAGAAATGTGAGTTCATACATCTTTATCTCTGTTTTAGTTAGATATGATTTCTTTTATTTCAAGGATAAAATAAAAAAAGATTTAGCATTTTGTCATACTAAGTTGCCACATTTTTATTTTGAAAGCTCTTATCTATCTGCTTATTTCAAAACTGACCATAAGTATAAGGGGATTTTCCTTGGTCTTACTCTGCCCAGAGTTTGAACCCATGACCATGTACATATATGGTTGTGAGGTATACTTTCTGAATAGTGATTTAATCCTTTACCAGTTATTCAAACAGTTTGAGAAAGGCTTATGAAATAATAAGAAATTACTAATCTGGATTTGCAAAAAAAAAAAAAAAAAAAAAAAAAAAAAATTCTCTCAGAATTGCTGGTTATTTACAAATTAATTTATTAATTCATGTTGAATACATTTTATTAACTTGGGTTAAGTTATTTCTGTTTATAACTGATAGATACCATAAATTTTCTGGTGAGATAGAGGGAGACTGGAAGAGACTTTGGATCAGATTGTTATTTGTCTGATGAATTTTCCCTGAACATTTGGTGCCATTATGAACCTATTTTTGCAAGGCACTTGATGTCTTCAGTAAAAACATATCATTAATGTGCTCACTATTGCAGATTTTTTTATGAAAGTGATAAGAGGGGGGATAGGAAAGCAGGCGGCTTATTGCTGCCATAACTGCTTCCTCAGTGATGTCATAAAGACCTGTTTTTGCCAAGCTCATTATGTCCTCGGTTAAAGCATGATTGTCTTTACCAATACCGATAATTAAAAATAAAATAATGTAGAGGGAAGGATGGAGGAATTTCCTACCTTAAATTTAAAAAATGTTTGCACATATTTGCTAGTTTCAAGAAAATTAGCAGACTGCTTTTCTCACTGATGGAAAAAAAAGTCCTTCAAAAATACTGAGGAAAGTTGCCAACTCACTTGATAAGAGTTTTCACACTGACGTAGGACCTAAACACCTAACTTGACCACACTCTTTCCCTCTCTACCCCTCTTTCTCTCTCTTCCCCTCTTTTCCTTTGCCCCTCTTTCCCTCTCTGCCCATCTCTCCCTGTACCCTCTCTTCTCTGCTTTGTCTCTTCCCCTCTTTACATCTCTACCCTTTCCCCACCTTTCTTCCTTCTCTCCTTTTCTCTCTTATCCTAATCTCTCTCATGTATGCCAATTTGCTTATTTATCTTTTTATTCCTTCCAGAAATACCCAGATTACTATCAGTTGATTGACCATCCAATTGACCTGAAGATGATAGCACAACGCATAGTGTCAAAACAATACAAAACTCTTGATGATCTTGAGGATGATTTTGCTCTTCTGTTTAACAATGCATGTACATTCAATGAACCAGGTTCTCGAATCTTCAAAGATGCCCGCACCCTGAAAAAACTGGCTCAGCTACGCAAGGGCGACCTCCTTCAGATTCTGAATGCAAAGAAGAGTGTTCGTCTCAGGTAATGTATGAGAAAGAAAAGTGGTTTGTTCCTAATTTATTAACCCTTTCAATATCACGACCCTCAAAATTAACCACTTGAAGGCCTGTGCCGTTGTTCTACAGTTTTGAAACCAGGTTGACAATGTTAAATGAAGCATGAGGAGTAGAAAGTTACTAGGCCTCCTGGCTTGTTCTGCAGCAGAATTTGGATCATGTATACAGTATATCTTATTTTGAACATGCATACTGAAATGCATACTTCTCTCCACACACCCAATTCTCTCTTATAGATTTATTTGTTGTCATATTTTTGCCTCTCAAATGAATTTTGGGAATGAACAAAAGAAAAATGTAAAGGAATGGTTGTTTGTTTACCAAATATATTTTTCAGTTGTTTAAAAGGAATCTTTTTTCAGAAGTAAGAGAAGTCATAACAACAAGCTGTGGTCGGTTTTAATGGCAGAGTTGGAGGAAGGGATAGAATTGCCTCTACCTGAGGAGGACAGTGGAGGAACAGAGATGGCCCTGGGGACTGCTCACGAGGATGAGGAGAGTGATGAGGATATTGACCTAGACAATCCACAATGGCAGCTTTTCTTAGCTGCCAAGAACCTTTCTTCCCCAAATGGTATTTCCCTGGTGCTTTTTATATGTGGAAGTATTGTTTTGAGTTCTAATATTATCATGCTTAAGGGTTAAAATATTGTAGCAAGAAGGCTGGAGGCAGTGGAGATATCATGTCTGAGGGCATTGTGTCGTGTGAACATATTGCTTGGAGATTAGGAGGAGGTGTGGAGTTTTTGAAAGTATTATCCAGAGGGTAGAGGAAGGGTTGTTGAGGTGGTTCCAACATTTAGAAAAGATGGAACAAAATAGAATGACTTGGAGTGTGTATCATTGTGTAGTGGAAGGAAAGTGGGGTAGGGGGTCATCCTAGGAATGGTTGGAGGGAGGGGGGTAAAGAGGTTTTGTCTGCAAAGGGCTTATGATTTGACATGCTGTTGGAGTGTGAGCAATGTAACATTTATGAAGGGATTCGGGGAAACTACTTGAGTCCTAGAGGTGGGAAGTACAGTGTCTGTGCTCTGAAGGAGGGGGTGTCGATATGTTGCAGTTTTTAACCCTTTCACTGTCATTCCCGTAGTATTACAGCTTGCAAGCCAGTGTCGGTCCTGTAATAGCACGCCAAGATTCAAGCGGCTTCCAGTCTTGCGGGAGAAAGCTGGTAGGCTTACATATGAGAGAATGGGTCTGAGTAGTCAGTGTGTGCAGTATAAGAAATATCCCTGTAGCACACAGGGCATAGTGAGAAAAAACTCCGACCGTGTTTTTCGTTTAGAACAGCGACTTTGCAGTGTATTTTCTTTTAGTATTAGTTGTATTCTCTTTTTCTTGGTCTTATTTGATAGAATGGAAGATATATTACAGAACTAGAGATGATTTTGAATGGTTTACGCATTAAAAGTACCTTGAAATTGAGCTTAAAGTAGCGGACATGTCTATGTGTAAATATCGCAGAGATAGCTAACTTTGTGAGAGTGTAATTCCATGAGTTTTCCATCAGATTTAGTATTTTTGGTGTCATTACCATCGGGAAAAGATTCTCTATCATTTCATAAGAATTTTTTTTTTTTTTAAATTCTTCGACACAGAGAGCAAGTTTGTAAGCAAGGGTCTCGACACTGAAAGGGTTAACTGTAGTGTAGGCATGCCTCTGGCAGGACAGTGATGGAGTGAATGATGTTGAAAAATGTTTCTTCTTTTTTGGGTCGCCCTGCCTTGGTGGGAAACAGTTGATGTGTGAATAAAATGAAAAATATCCAGGTGGGATGAAAATTTGTAATGCAAAATTGACAACAAGTTTTTTGCATGCACTACAGCATTAATAAAATTAGTGACTTTGGTACACTTGTCCTGTTTCCTGACAAACCTTACCTAACCTAATCTAGGTACACTAAATTGCTGGTGAATTTGAGAACGTTATTTATAGTTCTGTACTGAATTAAAGTATTGTGGAAGTAAAGGACAGTATTGTATAGTGCTTAGAGGAACTGAATGTACTTCTTAGAAAAAATTGAGAGACTAGAAACCTTAACATTTAAAATCTTAAGACAGCGTCTGCTCATTTAAATTTATTTTTAACAAGTTCTGAATAAATGATCATTAATGTGCATATTTTTAATATTTCATTGCGGTTTTGTAGCAAACCTGATCACCCCTCAAGAGTGTTTCCTTGATGCTGGTGAAGGGCTCTAGATTCAAAATAATGGACTTGTCCTTCCCTTCTTTGAACTGACCCTGATTTCCTCCCATTTTCCCCTAAATATACTAATAATGTATATTATGATGTTTTTCACTTTGAATACAGAGGATAAATTGATGATGATAGTTATTCTTTTAATTGGCAGATCCCAACTACTTGCTAGTAGAACCATTCAAACGTCTGCCTAATCGGCGGTGGCATGCTGACTACTACATAGAGATAAAGAACCCTATCTCTATGTCTCAGATCAGGAAGAAGATAGTGGTATGTTTTGTCAGTTTCACAATAATATACGTACGTATAAGAATTTGATCTAACATGTAGTATTTTGTTGTTTAGTATCTCTTGGTTGTTTATAATGCTGTTACTTGATGCTAGAAAGGTATTATGGAAGAACTGCACTTCAGATGAAATTTTGGAAACTCTGTATTGCAAGCGTCAAAACTCAAAGACGAAGACAATGGACTGGCCCACAAGCAGGCTGCCTGCGAGACCACTAGATGGAGGGGGAAAATCCCACAGTCCAGCTCGCGGTGCTCCAAATTTTTCACCCAGAAGGGGCACTGTGCTAGTCGAATTTTATGGCATGTTCATCGAAAATATGCCTCAATTTTGAAACAATGTAATAGAGAAAGCATGTTAGAGGATTGCATGTTAATTGACTGTCTACTGGATATGCACAACACACGCAAATTTCCATCTGGTCTTACAAACATATTTACATCTCGGTTTTCAGTCGTATTTATTTATGTTAAGTATCATTCTCCTGCACAAGTGTCCAGCAGTGGTCAACCATCAGTCTGATTGTCAGGTTTCCCTGGTATCTCATCTCCATGATGGCTGTCATGGTAGAATCATTCACTGTGGAATTCTGTTTGAATTCAGCGTCCAAAAATTAATAAGAAATGTGTTTTTAAATGTGAAGTGAAATTATTGTTGGAAAGTATTATTAAACACTGTGGGAGGGAGTGTTGTAATTAGGACACAGTAACATCAGAAATGTTGTTGTGCTTCCTTATCTTGTGGCTAGATAGTCCAGTTACACTTTTAATTACTGTTTATTTAGGTGCTTGATTGCTTGGCTAGTTTCTTGCTTGTTGAGGATGTCACCTAACATGTGCAGTGGTACTTGCCTAGTTGTTTGTGGGGTTTATCTTTGCTCTTAGACTAGTATTTTAATCAACATTACTAATATGTGGCTTCTTGGGCATTATCATACCTACTCTTGAAGTTGACTGTCTTTTCTTTAGCCTGATCATTCCACTTTTCAACCACCCTGAAATAAAAGGCATACTTACTATAGTCCATATGGCTTGTCTGTGTCTTTTGTTTCCACTTGTATTTCCCTGTCTGCATTTTCTTAATTAATTGTCTCTCCTTAGCTGCCTTATTATAATGTTCCTCTTAAAATTTTGTACCTTTAATTATGTCACCCCTAGTTCATTCTCATCTGCCAAATATCAGGTTTAGTATAAATTGAGAAAGGTTGGAGAACAAATGGACATGGCATTTAAGCTTGAAAGAGTGAGATATTAGATGGGGAGGTATTGATTGGCAAGATGTCAGGAATATTTTAAGACGTTTTAAGATGTTGATAACAGTTGAATGTATTGTTAACTCTTTCAGGGTTTCCAACATACTAGTACGGCTTACGCACCAGGGTTATAGACGTACTAGAACACCTAAATTCTAGCGCCTTCAAATCTAGTGAGAGAAAGCTGGTAGGCCTACATATGAAAGAATGGGTCTATGTGGTCAGTGTGCACAGTATAAAAAAAATCCTTCAGCATGCAGTGCATAATGAGGAAAAAAAAATCCGACCATGTTTTTGGTTTAAAATGGCGACTTTGCAGTGTATTTTCGTATTGTATTTATGGTTGTATTCTAGTTTTCCTGGTCTCATTTTATAGAATGGAAGACTTGTTACAGAAATTGAGATGATTTTGATTGGTTTCATAATGAAAAGTACCTTGAAATTGAGCTCAAATAGCAGAAATGTTTGATTTTTACCAAATTTCAAAAGTAAACAAATCATGCCAAGCGTTCAATACACGTTAACTTATGAGTCTAATATTATTTCACAAGTGCACTGACATTATTTATACCATTTCTACACCATTCTACACTAATGCAGTAGTCTGCATAACAGTAAATCTTCTATTTTTTGTGAGAATAAAAATTCAAAACTGGAAAGCAAAAGAGATGTAAGGTTGGCCTGGGGATGTGACTAATGAACAGAGAAAATGTTATTTTAGTGCCAGGAATGTCTGTCTTGCTTATTCTGGACCCTATTTGGAAATTGGCACTTTTTGAAATTTGTGTGAAATTGGCAAAATTGCCAATTTCTGACCACTTTATTGAATACTTGAAATCGGTAAATGGGTGGTTTCTTGTACTCATTCGATAGAAAAAATGGAGTTCTAGTGAAATTGATAAGAATTTTGTTGACTAGTACACTGAAATTGGCCGAAAATAGAGCTCAAAGTGGGCGAAATCGCCGATGTGTAAACATCGTTGAGACTGCTAACTTTGCGAGAGCATAATTCCGTAAGGTTTCCATCAACTTTCATACTTTTGGTGTCATTATGATTGGGAAAAGATTCTCTATCATTTCATAAGAAAAGATAATTTTTTTTTTTTTTCCTGAAAAATTTTTGACCCTGAGAATGAATTTAGGAGAGGACCTCTTGACCCTGAAAGGGTTAAAAGCATTGATGATTAACAGGATAAATGTAGAGAACATAACAGAACTTGACTGACCATTCCAGTTGATTGAGAGTCAAAAGCCTTGCCACTTACAGCAGTGAAGTGAATCTTTCAGAGAGAAAATTCAAAATTAGTTTACTGAGAAACTGGAAAACCAAGGATGACAATTTGGAGAGGAAGGGTTTGTCATACTCTTTTCAAAAGCTTTACAGTTACCTAGACTTAAGCAAAGAATTCACTAATTCCTACTTTTACTATAATGTTTCCTGACATCTCTGTGGCTCAATAAAGCTTGCAATTTCTATAAGTTATCTTTTGTTTTGGATCATCCCTTGTTTAAAAAAAAAAGTTCTTATCTTTGCAATGGAATATTCAGGATCATATCTTCTGCATTCCTCCAAAACCAAACAATGTCTTGTTCCTGATAAGTAGACAGGAATTTCTCCTTGCATGAGTAAGGAGAATTCTCTGCAATAAACTTTTATATTGCTAAACTATATGTACTGTATATGAATGTAATGAAATAGGAGCCACATGGAATCATACTGTCTCTAGAGTAAAATAAAAGATGTTACCACAACTTTAATAATAATTTTACATTTGATAGAAGGGAGAGTACCGCTTGATATCTGAGATGCTGGACGACTTCAACTTGATGTTTGACAATGCTCAGCAGTACAATCGGCCTGACTCCAGAATATACCGTGATGCTGTGAAGCTCCAAAAGTATATACAGAATAAATCAGAAGAGATAATGGCAATGGATGAAGAGGTAAGGATGTCTTGTTCTGTATACAATACTGTAACAAAAAGCTTTTGGAAAAGATGAAAAAGATTCTTTTAATGGTAAGGGCCATACGGCTTGTTAAATTCACTTTCATTTCACTAGTCGAAGTTCACTGGTTCAAACCTACTATGTTTGACTCGTATTTTTTCCACTTAGCTGGACTTGAGTCCTGGAGGTGGGAAGTGCAATGCCTACACTTTAAAAGGAGGGGTTTGGGATATTGACTGTTTGGAGTAACATCTAAACTGCCATATCTGAGCGCCTCTGCAAAGACATTGATTGTGTATGAATGATGGTAAAAAGTTTTTTTTTTTTTTTTTTTTTTTGGGTCATCCTACTTTGATGGGATATGGCCAATTTGTTGAAAAAAACAAAAATATTTTTAACAGTAGCCATAATTATATTATACAGTAGAACCTCGTATCCACTGATTCGGTATCCGTGGTTTCAGTTATCCATGGTTTACTGTGGCCCAAAAATATTTCTTAATTTTGTATAATAATGGCCCCAAAGCTCAAAAGTAGGAAAGCTGGCAGTTCTTCAAAGCTGAAGAAAAGCCGTGAAGTGCTTCCCATCAGTGAAAAAAGTGATGATTCTCCACTTGTTGTGCATAATTTATCGATTAAACTTTATAATAGATATGTATAGGATTATCTATGGTTTTGCTACTATCCACGGCTTTGGTATCCATGGCAGGTCCTTGGAACACATCTCCCGCGGATATGGGGGTCCTACTGTATTTTATTACACTATATTGACAAAGATAAAGTGAGGCTGAAATGTGACCAAGGCACTTGAAGGTTGTAGATGTGTGTAATTACTGAACTAAATATAAAACTAAATGTATTAGTATTTGATATCTGCCAGTTAGTTTTGGTTGACTTTCATATATGTTTAACCAATTATCTGGCTATACAGCAATTAGAGGCCTTTTCTTGTACTTTCTAGAATGTATCAGCAATCAGTGTAAATAAAAGTAATCTCATTTTTAGGACTCGGATAGTTACAGTGATGATGACGACTCACAGTCGCACAGCAGACGTCGTCTAGGTCGTCCTGCCAGACCTTTGACATTTAAACGTCGAGCAAAAATCCTGTTCAAGACCTTAATGGACTATATGACAGAAGATGGCCGGCAGCCTATTGTTGCCTTTATTGAAAAGCCAGCCAAGAGGAATTACCCTGATTATTATGAGGTAAAACAGCTGTTGGTTTTTAGTTAATGTTTAAGATTAGGGACTTGAGCTATTAAAACTAGTTCATAAAATCATGGAATTTTATTCTAGATATCTCTGATTACTGTAAGTTAAATGGTAATAACAAACAATTCAAATTAACTTCTTTGTTTAGCCATAAAGAATTTGTAATAAAGGCTGTTTTCCTTATCTGTTTATTATTTTTTCTTCACTTATTATCAGCCCAGAATATTTAAAGTATTATTTCTCTGCAAACGCTTGTAAAAATGGATTTTCTTACCACAGAAGAAAACCTTAAGTTGTGCAGTCATAACTCGCATTTTCAGTAGGTGATTTAAATTTAAGTTTTCATTTCTAAATGAAGTGCACCCATTTCCGTTAAGGGAGCAGAATTCATTTCCATTGGTGGCACTTTTTTCTGTTAAGGAGCACTGGAGCAGAATTCTTCTGTTAAGGAGTGCCATGGCAGGCAGGCAGGCCTCAGACCTCCCACTACATGTTAGGCAACTCCATTGTCTTAGATCAGAGGGAGGGTGAGGGGATGTAAACAAACCAGCCTCCCATCTCATCAGTGGATGTTTTTCACTGCCTGTCACAAAAAAAAAACTGGACGTAATTGGGATGAAGAGAGGTGAATGCATCATGGAGCCGGCACTGTTGTTTGTGTTAGAGAATCAGTGATTTGGTCAATTAAAGATGAGGCAAAGATAAGGGTTTGTGAAATGAGTGATCCTCAGTGTGATACAGTGAAGCGAATGAGGAATAGGTCAGTAAATTTAAACAAAATAAAGTTTACTAAATGTGTGGATTGAGAAACAAGGAAAAAAAGATATCCCACTCGATGGCCTTATTGTTAAGGAGAAACCTTTTCATACTATAAAACTGTGAGGAGGAAGGACAGTCCAAAAATGAGTCTGCTTTTAGTTCTGGATGGTTTAACAGATTCTGTAGTTTGCATAGTATAAAGTTGAGTGGAGAGAGTACCTCTACCAACCATTCTGCTGCAGGAAAGTTCCCAGCTGAGCTAGCTAGCTAGCATTATCTCTGAGGTTGGATGTAGATCCGAGTAGTTGTTTAATGCTGATGAGACAGGTTTGTTTTGGAAGAAAATGCCATCTAGAATGTACATCGGTTAATAAGAGAAAACCACTGCTGGATTCAAAGCTGCAAAAGATCATTTCAGCTTGTTTCTTTGCAGTAGTGCATCAGGAGACTTTAAATATAAGCCTTTGCTTGTTTATTGCTACAAGAATCCCCATGCTTTAAAAGGAAAAGACATAAGTGCATTGCCTGTTATTTGGAAGTCCATTGCCATGGCATAGCTTAAGCATCACTTTATTTCTGAAGTGAGGATGTACCTGTCCTTTAAAAATCTTTCATTCAGGGTTTTCCTCATCCTTGATCATTGTCATAGTCATCCAGACAAGTATCTTCACCAGGTGCCAGATCAACCAGGCTGTGATGGATATGTGGGGCAGCAGGTCTTCAGCAGCAACAGCCTGTGTAGATGAATGGTTCAGAGAACCGAAAGGTTGATAAATTAGACATATGTGCAACACTTGGGTATCCTTATTGCGGAAACGTTTCGCCACACAGGGGCTTCATCAGTCCATACAAAGGAGAATGGGGAAGAACAGGAGGAGTTTGAGGTAATCAGTCCCTCAGGATTGATGGACTGACCACATCGACTCAAGGCTGAGGGACTGATTACCTCAAACTCCTCCTGTTCTTCCCCATTCTCCTTTGTATGGACCGATGAAGCCACTGTGTGGCGAAACGTTTCCTCAATAAGGATACCCAAGTGTTGCACATATGTCTAATTTATCAGCAACAGCCTAGTTGACCAGGCAAGCACCAGACGTAGCCTGGCCCATGGCTAGGCTTTGAGAGTAGTGAGACTCTTGAAACTTATCAAAGGTATATCAGAAGTAAACTAGTGGCAGCAATTAATGACACAGTGGAATGCCAGAGTTTAGGTGCATATATAATATTGCAGATGCACTCTCCTATTAAAAAAAAAAAGCATGGGATCATGTACCAAAATTGATAATAATTGCTGCTTGGAGAAAAATATGGCCTATTGTGGTGAATGATTTTGCTGGTTTTCCATCAATGGAGAGTCAGGTTCAGGAAATTGATGATCTAGCAAAGAGAATGCTAGGTTAGGGATTTGAAGGTATACTGCCAGATGACATTAGTGAACTCTTGGAACATGATGATGATGAATGACCTGCAGAGGAAATGTTGCAGGAATTATATTTCCAGCTGCAGAGAACAGAAGACATTGAGGATGCAGAACCTGAGCCTGAGTGAGTGGTGTTGATACTGCAAGAGCTACATCAAACACTGTAAGCTGTTGGCAAATTTGCAGAATTGTTTATTGAAAAGGACCAAGACTCATCTTGAAGCCTGTAAAGCATACTCTGGAATAGGCACTTGGGCCTTATTGTATGCAGGGTAAAACAAACCAGCACTGTATGACTGAGTATCTGAGTATTTTACTGATGAAGCTGCACCATCATACGAGTCCCAACCTTCAACCTTAGTCGAGTAGAGCCACAGCCAACCTCTCCACTCTAAGATGATATGCATCCTAAACTCGAATGTAAGTAGCAAATAATGTACAGTACTGCATTAATGTAACCATTTTATAATTAATACACTATTACTTTTAGTTGTCTGAGCATCACAAGAGTTCACATATTAAACAGAACATCATCATTGATAAGATTAGGTAAGAGAAGCTATTATTTTTGACCAAAAAATTTGTTATAGCTCTCTCGGAGGTCTGAGGAACGGAACCCTATTTTTTCCATATGTTTCTCAGTCCACAAGTCGTGGATATCATTATAATCATCCACTGTATAACAAAAAATCAGTAATGGATAAAGAAAGCTAAATAATTTAGTCCAAATTGCAAATGCGTAGTTTATTTTTTTTTATTTTATTTATTTTTTTTTTTCCAACAAGTCGACCCTGCCTCGGTGGGAGACGGCCGACTTGTTGAAAAAAAAAAAAATGGTTCTCTCTGCTGGATAGGCTTTCAATTTTCCTCTTATGTTATTGTAAAGTCTTCATATTTTACTAATGGCAGATGATTATTAGTAACCCTTTCACAGTCCCCCATGTATATGAACATCATCAACACCACTGTCACCCAATAGATCTACATCATCGACACCACTGTCCCTCACATAGATCTACATCATGGACACCACTGTCCTCCACATAGATCTATGTTTTTAGCACAGCTCCCTCAAATATGCTGTGAGCAGTGATTTTGGCCTAGGTGTGAGAGAATGCATCTCTGTGGTGAGTTTGCATAGTACGGTACTCCTCGTTTTCAACTTGCCTGTTTAATGACCGCTTGGACTTCCAACCAGTGTACTGTATGTGTATTTTACTTTACTATTTTTTTAATGCCTAGTTCCGTTTTTAATATACTGAAATTTTTAGAAATGGTGCAAAGGTGACATTAAAACTGTATCTAAAGATGGTTGACACACAAACCTACCAATACAGTATGATTGAAATATCAGTAAGGGGTGGCTCCTTGCTTAACGGCCAATTCCCTTACCGACCTACTCTTAGGATCAGAACTCAGATGTTAAGTGAGGTGTACCTGTATAAAAAACAAATCCTGCCCCTCGTAGTACATAATGGAAAGAGCTAATCTTTGTCTGCATTCGGTTTAAAACAGTGATTTTTGAGATGTTTTCTAGGGTGGTTCATATGGTTATATAGTCTTTTCCTTACTATTAACTGATAGATAAAGACACTCTCTTTCTCTCTCTTTTTTTTTTTTTTTTTACACAGGGTTTGACAAGGTTAAGGATCCCTAGCTTTATTGACAGCTATTTACAGGTTAAGGATTCCTAACTTTATTGGCAAGCTAAGAGCTGTTACCTACATCAGCTCATTTGAAAGCATTTTTATTGTTATGAGACATACAAGTAGGGAACAGGATGAAGTTGGAGCCATCTGTGGGCAAGCATTTTCATTTGATCAACTGACTTTATCTCGTTGACATCATTATGCTGTACGAATGTGTTCCATACTCTAGTCATCCTGGGTATGTATGATCTCAGATGGAGTGATGTTCTGGAGAAGGGTACAGCCAGAGTGAAGTTGCTGCTTTCTGCCCGTCTTGTGGCATAAAAGCTTGTTTCACGCTGTCCTCGAAGTGGATCCAAGTGTGGTATTTTGACAATATTGGCCTTGTACATAACAGTAAGGCCACCCACATCCTCCTATGTTGAAGGCTCTGCTGAAATGACAGATCTATCCAGGATGGGTCCAGGCGAGAGATGAGACGTCTTGCTCTGTTCTCTACTCTGTCAAGCAGTCGCAGATGAGAGGGGGGGGCAGGCAAACCAAGGGAAAATGGAGCATACTCAAGGTGTGAGCGTACTTGTGCCTCGTACAGGATCTTGCAACCCCTACTGTCAAGCAGATGGGAGATACGGAAAAGTGCTGTAAGCTTCCTGGCTGCCTTGTTTGCAAGATTTACAACGTGGTTCTTCATGGTTAGTTTGGAGTCAAATTTCACCCCAAGGATATCAACTTCTTCTCCAGGTGCAACATCCTCCCATTCATCCTTACTACTGCACCAGCTTTTACCATCATGGTGCCTAGAAAACGATCATCATTTGCATTTTCTCAGGTGCAAATGTTACTTGCCATCTATTTCCCCAAGCTGATATAGCTCTCAGCTGGTGATTGATGTAGCTTAGAGCAGCTGGCATTTCTTCTCTTGGATAAGTGAATGTCAGTGTACAGTCGTCTTGCATATGCATGTGATTCTGGGGATGAGATGAAGAAGGTCGTTGAAGTAGACATTCCATAACAATGGACCCAGCACGCTTCCTTGTGGAACACTTGCCCCAATAGGATGTCTTGCTGATTCCATTCCATTGAGGAACTACACTTGGGAGATCTACCATGAAGGTAATCACTGAGGAGACATAGCGTAGAGCCTGCAATTCCCAGTGCTTGAAGTTTTGCTAAGAGGCCCTGGTGCCACACCCGGTCGAAAGTGCCAGCAATGTCCAGTGCTACCACACAGCTGACTTTGGATTCATCCAGTGACTGGTGCCACTTAGTGGAGAGGTTTAACAACAGATCAGCAGCAGAGTAACCTTTCCTGAAGCCATATTGACGATCACAAAGTAGTGAGTGGTAGTCAAAAAACTCTGTCATTTGTCTTGAGATTATTGTCTCAAGGATCTTACCAGTGATTGACAGGAGTGACACTGGTCTGTAGTTGCTGATTTCTGCTCTGCTCTTCTTTTTGTGAACAGGGACTACATTTGCCTCTTTCCATAGAGAGGGCCATTTACACTGTACTAGGCAGTGCTGAAAGATGCGAGTAGGAAATGCACCTCCTCCTGCCTTATTGTCACCACTGACAGTTTTGACACAGTTCTTGCAGCTAGCCAAGGAGGGTCCCTTGCTGGATCAGGAACTTGCATTTTGGTAGCAAAGTGTTCAGCAAAGAGGTCCGCCTTCTCTTGACTACTAGTAGAGGTGGTCCCATCCTGTCGATTTAGAGGTGGAATAAGTTCATCAGGCAGATAACCTTGTCTGTCCTTGACCAGGGACCACCAGGTTTTGGAGCCTACCCTACCTGATGCTAACTTTCTTTTAGTGTCCACCTCCCATTTAGCAATGGCCCACTTTTGAACATCACCCATATGCCTACAGGCTTGCATGTGCAAGTTCCTGTTATAGGTGGTAGGATGTCTCTTATACCTTCGCCATGCTTTGTACTTAGCAGTAGCAGCCTCTCTACAATGAAAGCCAAACCAAGGCTGATCTGTAGGCTTCGTCACATATTGCCGGTGAGGAATGTGTTCTTGTTGTAGATTAAGGATGTGTCCAGTGAAGGCTTTCACTTGGTTGTCAACATCCCTTGGAGAAGAGCATTCCAGTCGGTGGTGGCGAGCTCAGAGCAAAGGGCTGGCCAATTACCTCTTTCCCATAGCCAGGTTGTGCGTGTGGACTCCTCACCTCGTTCTGTTGGGATTTAAGTGTCGTAAAAACAGCCTTGTGGTCAGACGATCCAACATAGCCGAGGGGTTGACAAGTGGACTATGCCTTCTGCCAGATCACTCATTACTGGGTCAAGGGAGGAGCCAGAGATATGAGTAGGGAAATCAACAAGTTTCTCATGTCAAACACTGCAAGGTCATCAAAGTCCCTCTGTATAAGGTGCTTGTTGAGGTCACCAACAATTATAATATGTTGACAGTTGTGTTGTAGCAGAAGGGAGTCAATATTTTCCTTGGGAAGTTGATGGGTCTGCATGTTTGCCCTGAGGTCTGTACATGCACATGCTAGTACAGACGAGCATCTAGTGTTTACAGAGCTTGAGACATCATATTCAAGAGGCCAGTAGGGTGGAAATCACAAGTGCCTGTCATGAACACTGGAAGTCACAAGCACCCTCTGTCTAAGTGCCTTGTGGTCACAACTTCTCATGCTGAGGTGTTAGCAAGGACAATATCTTCATAAATATTCTGTTGAGTACGCTGTACATGCCAGAGAAGAGTAGATTTCAACAAGCTTGCTATCATGTCAGACGTGAGGTTCACATCAAATGTGCTGAGCATCAACATTTTAGTAATGACAAGCGAACCTCTCTCTCTTCTTCTCCATCAGTTGCTTCTGCATTTTGGGTCTTCATCTTCTCCTATCTCCTCTGTTCCTCATCTTGCTTCCACATCTCTGAACTCTCTTTCTATCCTTCTCCTTTTCATCTCTCTATCTTCCTCTCTCTTCTTCTCTCTCTTTACTCTTCTCTTTCTCTCTCTTCTCTCCTCTCTTTCTCTCTCTCTTTCTCTTCTCTCTTTCTCTTCTCTTCTCTTCTCTCTTTCTCTCTTTCTCTATCTCTCTTTCTCTTCTCTCTCTCTCTCTCTTCTCTCTCTCTTCTTCTCTTCTCTCTTCTTTCTCTCTTCTTCTTTCTCTCTCTCTTCTCTCTCTCTTCTCTCTTCTCTCTTTCTCTTCTCTTCTCTTTTCTTTCTTCTCTTCTCTTCTTCTTTCTCTCTCTTTCTTTCTCTCTCTCTTCTCTTTTCTCTCTTCTCTTCCTCTTCTCTCTCTCTCTCTCTCTCTCTCTCTTTCTCTCTCTCTCTTCTCTCTCTCTCTCTCTTCTCTCTCTCTCTCTCTCTTCTCTCTCTCTTTCTCTCTCTTTTTCTCTCTCTTTTTTTTCCCAACATGTTAGCTATTTCTCACCAAGGCAAGGTGACCCCCCCCAAAAAAAAAGAATAAACTTTCATCATTAACCCTTTGACTGTTTTCGACGTATAAATACGTCTTACGAGCCAATGTTTCTGACGTATATATACTCAATAATTCTAACGGCTTCAAATCAAGCGGGAGAAAGCTGGTAAGCCCACATGTGAGAGAATGGGTCTGTGTGGTCAGTGTGCACCACATAAAAAAAATCCTGCAGCACACATTGCGTAATGAGAAAAAAAAAACTGATCGTTTTTTTTGTAATAAAACGCCGACTTTGAGGTGTATTTTCGTATAGTATTTATCGTTGTATTCGCGTTTTCATGGTCTTAGGTGATAAAATGGAAAACATATTACAGAGAGATGATTTTCATTACTTTGACGATGAAAACGACCTTGAAACTGAGCTCAAATTAGCGGAAATGTTTGATTTTTACCAATGTTCAGGAGTAAACAAATCACACCACACGTCCAATACACGTCAACTGGGGAGTCTAATATTCTTTCACTAGTGCACTGATATTATTTATACCATTTTTACAATAATGCAGTAGTGTGCATAACAGTAAATTTTGTATTTTTTTGTATGAATAAAAAATCAAAATAGAAAGCAATAATAATATAAGAGGGGCCTAGAGATGTGACTAATGAACAGAGGATATGCTATTTTAGTGCCAAGAATGTCTACCTTGTTTATTCTGGACCCAATTTTGAAATTGGCATCTTTTTTAATTTGCATGAAATTGGCCAAATTGCCAATTTCTGACCACTATATTGGGTACTTCAAATTGGTAAATGGGCGGTTTCTTGTACTCAGCTGATAGATAAAATGGAGTTCTAAAGAAATAGCTATGAGTTTGGTCAACTGGAACAACGAAATTGGCTGAAAACAGGGCTCAAAGTCGGCGAAATCGCCGATACACATATGTCGCCGATTCCGCTAACTTCGCGGGAGCGTAATTCCGTGAGTTTTCAACCAAATTTCGAACTTTTGGTGTCATTACCATCGGGAAAAGATTCTCTATCGTTTCATAAGAAAAAATAATTTTTTTTTTCGAATATTTGGCGACATAGAATGACAGTTTCAGAAAGGTGCCTGAAACAGTCAAAGGGTTAATGAAATGAAGATGATTTTGCAGATTTCAGACCAGAATTAGGGCTTAAAGTGGCAATTTTTTTTTTTTTTCCTGAGAAAGAGTAGGGCCTTCCATAACCCCCTTTTTCCCTGGTCAGTTTCATGGTTTTTTTTTTAAGGTCTGTTTTAGGATGGCCAAAACCATGATCGTTCATTCTTGGTTATATTTTATTAATCCAGGAAATAGGGTGCATTTTTTTTTTTTTTTTTTTTTGTATGATGATGGATTCAAAATGAAGAATGTTTTATCAATTGCATGTGTTATCAAATGAAGAATGTGGTATCAATTACTCCCAGACCACAAACTGGGCATCTACAAAATTCCATAAGTTTTCCATTAAATTTTTCATTTTTCATTCCATTACCTTCAGAAAAAGACACTATCATTTCAGAAAATGAAGTTATGTTATTAGAAATAGCAACACTGCCAGTACTTTTAATTTGGGGTTGCAATAGTGGAAGGGTTTATAGGAGTCCCAATCATAAGTATGGTTAAGCTAAACTTGCATTTAAGACCTGCAAAGCTTGTTCTTTTCCTTGTTTTACCCATTCATTAGCAATCAAATTATGAATATATTTATTATTGCTAGGAGTCACTAACTTGATTTTGTTCAGTAGAAAAATCACAAAAGATAAACACATTACTTACAAATAGTGTTGGATAACTGAGCAATGGCATGTGGAGAGATACCAGAGCTGTAAAATGAGGTGTTATGTGACCTTCATACAAGGTGGATGGTGCCTAAATTTTACCAGTATCATATACTGTCGTTACTGACTGGACCTCAACAGTTACCCAGTGGAGTTTGAGATGAGTCTTAGCAAATTATAAGCAAATTAGTTTGGTTATCTCCATTTAGGTTTATGGACATATTTGATGCATTTGTCAAATGGAGTGAAGGATCAATTTTCTAAGCCTTTCTCAGCATCAGTTATGTAGTATCTAATACAGATTTCAGTAGGCTATTATCATCGATCAAAATATCCTCTGCCAAATCTGTGGTTTTTGCAGTTACATTAATAAAAAATTAAAATATTAATAAAGAGAAATAAATATTTTTTCACCAGCAACTTGCAAAGTTGGAAGGAATATCCTCTTAATGAATAAATTAGTGTGAAGAATTGAGGAAAATTACATTGGTACTATCATTCAGGTGATAACTCAGCCTATAGATATGGAGACCATCGAAGGCAAGATCAAAGGTGACAGGTACGCCAGTGAGGAAGATCTCATCGCCGACTTCAAGCTTATGTTCCGCAACTGCCAAAAGTACAATGAAGAAGGTTCAATCATATATACAGATGCGACTATACTGGAAAAGGTGAGTAAATTGTGACTTAAGTAGCATATTAATTTTCAGTTAGTATCATGAATATTATTTTATATATTTTTAACTAATACACGTGCAGAACGTAAGGTACCTCATACACAGCTTCAGATATTGTAACCCTTATCCAGAGCTGTAAACTTGCAGCTTCATCCTTACTTTTCCTCTTGCATTTGTATATTTATTTCCTTCCTTCATAGGTTGGTAGATAGAAGCCATCAAATTAATTAAACCATCCTTTTGTATGTGTGTGAAATGCAAGTCTGCTAAAAAATATTTTCTGTGGTAGGATTGGTGGTCTTTTTTTTTTGTCTCATACACAAGTAAAATGAAAAGTAAATCTTACAAAATTTTGCTTTTACTTTCCATCTTCTTATTAGTATATTTTCTTTCCAATTTAGGATAAAGGGTCTTCAACTAGGTTGCTGAGACAAAATAGTCTCTAGAGCTATTAAAGTTAACAGATAGTACAAACAAGGTAAATAAAACAGACATGTATAAAAGAGACACTCACATAATGTTAAATAACTTTTTTAATGGAAATGTTTCACTCGGTAGGGGCTTTATCAGTCCAGTGCACAAATAACCCACACAAAAGAGAGAGAAGGCTATGATGACATATCAGTCCGACTTGGACCATTAATTAGTCACAGTAACACATGGAGAGGGAGCCAGTATATATATAGGAGAGGGGGACAGGTATTGTGCCTTGTTGTTCTTTCTTTATCAATCCAGTACTGACAAAAGAAATGGAGAGATATATAGTAGCATGAAAATCAGTTATGTTATAGGTGGGGGTGCACAAAACAATGACATCAAATGGCTGTATCCTGATGACCTAAAATCAATTTAGTCAAAACTCTGGAGATATTGAAGCTTTGCCTGTTCTACACAGCTCTGTTGTACTAAGAAATACTGAGTGGAAATACTAAGTCTTAGTATAGTATAGTTGCACAAAGCATGGGAGTCTCAGTATCTCCAGAGTTTTGGCTCAATTGGTTTTAGGCCAGCAGGACACAGCCATTATTTTCTGCACCCCACCTGCACTACAACTGACCTCCAATCTATTATATATTTTTCCCCTCTTTTTATGTTTCTTTATTGGAGATATAAATGGTGTACAAAATTAGTCATATGTTGGACACAGTCTGACTCTCTGTTGCATGGAGTATGTCAGACACAGTCTAGTTTCCTGTTGTATGGAGTATGTTGGACACAGTTTGGTTGTATGGAGTATGTTGGACGCAGTCTGGTTGTATGGAGTATGTTGGACGCAGTCTGGTTGTATGGAGTATGTTGGACGCAGTCTGGTTGTATGGAGTATGTTGGACGCAGTCTGGTTGTATGGAGTATGTTGGACGCAGTCTGGTTGTATGGGGAGTATGTTGGACGCAGTCTGGTTGTATGGAGTATGTTGGACGCAGTCTGGTTGTATGGGGAGTATGTTGGACGCAGTCTGGTTGTATGGAGTATGTTGGACGCAGTCTGGTTGTATGGAGTATGTTGGACGCAGTCTGGTTGTATGGAGTATGTTGGACGCAGTCTGGTTGTATGGAGTATGTTGGACAGTTGAATGGGTGACAATTTAGGCATTTCGATTTTTTTTTTTTTTTATAATCCTGTCAAGTAGTGGACAAGAATGTTCAATAAGTACTGTCATTTATTATTCAGTTTTAGTATTTTCATTTACTACAGTTTTTTAATGCATTTTGATTCTGTATTTAAGGTGTTGATTGAGAAGATCAGAGAGCTCAATCAGGGTGATGGTAACATCATTAAAGGGAAGGTGTTCAAGCGCAGTAAATGCTCTTCATATGTGTGCCCATCCAAAACCATCAGAACTCTCTACAATTCTGTACGTGATTACCGAGACTCAGAAGGGCGACAGCTGTCAGAAGTCTTCCTGAAACTTCCATCTAAAGCACTCTACCCAGATTATTATGAGGTTAGTAATTTATTATCTAAGTGGCATAAATTGATGGAATCCATGAAATAAAGTAAATGACTTTTTAATTTGTAAAAGAAGAAATGCCCATAACTGTGCAAAATTATGTTCCAGTACAGCTGCGCAGGTGTTAAATACATTTCCCATAAAGCGTGTTTTAACTAAATGATGGCTATACTGCATAGATTTTTTTTTTTTTAACACGTCAGCTGTCTCAAATAGTTTATTAGCAAATAGACCAATATTTAACTAGTTAGTTCCTTTAAGCATTATGATAACATTTTTGTTTTCATTATTTCAGGTTATAAAACAGCCAATTGATCTTGACCGAATTCAGCACAAATGGAAGAATGGAGTTTACATCACCCTTGATGACATCATGGCTGACTTGACATTAATGTTCCAAAATGCTTGTCGGTATAATGAACCAGACTCTCAGATATATCGTGATGCACTTACTCTGCAGCGCCAGGCCCTGGAGGTACGCGGATGTTGCCAGCTTTTCAACAGAGAGAATCAGACTGACATCTTGGTAAAGGTTAAAAGCATCAGTGTTATGTGAAAGCATGGATTATATTCCGAGTGGATATTAAGCAGAATCCGAGTCCATGCGCCTGTTAATACATAATTGCATTTTGTTGATTTATTAACGATGTGGCACATGTTCATATTTCCAAACTTTTTTTTTTTGTTCAATGCAAGCAGTTCCACTTCATATATTTTTATTCAAATCTAGTGTTCTAAACTGTGGATGAAGTACTTCTTTAACTCAAGGACTATCATCATTAAAACAAAATAAAAAAAATTTGTTAACTTGACAGACTTTTTGACACTGTCACCCCCTAAATTTTCTTTTTGTGAGAAAAGACAAAAATTAGTTTTAGAAATTTATGTATGTCCTTTTAATTTGTGTTCACTAAATGGAGAGGAGCTTTTTATTAGTATGTTTCATGCACAGGGATTGGGAGCTTTATTGAGTACATAGAAAATCCAAGAACACTTCTTAAATAATACACTCAGTGACTGAGGTCAGGTGAAAGTGCAGGAAGTGGAGCCTCAGAGGAGCACTGCAGGATGTCTACTGGGCTACACTTAGCTTTAAGTTTGCATTGTTCTAAGATGGTGGCATTGTGTGTTGCTGAGTTAACACGAACAAGCCACTGTTCTGATAATGGTGTGCTGGATAGTTAAATAATTGAATACTCCAGACATTTGTGGTTAATTCTGTCATTTTCATGTAATAACAGTGAAGCTGTATTTCTCACCATGATGAAGGCATGGGATTTCTGGTGTAGTATGCAAGCATTACTGTTGTGGTCAGTCTGCATGTATACCACTTGTGTTCTTGTAAGCATATGGGAAGACTTTTGGTTTATCACATACCTTGCAAGGAATGATATCAGGCAGTGCATCTTTGAGTGAAGTACTGAGTGTGAAGAATCTTGTGGTGTGTCTGATTGTCTTGGAAGTAACCACATCAACATCAATATTGACTTTAGTTAGGATAAGAGAGACTCTTGGCTGTGGTACCACTGGGTGAGATGAGTTGTGTTCAGTATTTCTTTTAGTTTTGGCAGTATTTACATCTGAGTGGCCTTTTGTTTGTAGTGAGATTGTATGGAGAGGGAATCTGAGGTTGATTAAGGTCTTGCTTGGCTTTCAGTAGATTATTGCTGCAAATTTAGTGCCCACTGGAAGAAACCAATAATCACTTATTGTTTGGTTTATAGATCATGATGCAAGTAAAATTGTGTGAGCTCACTGTAATTAGTGGGTTTCTTATAAACAGCACATTTGACTTGATCTCCCTGTTTGATGAGTAAGAGGTCCAAGAAAGGTAGTACCTACTTCTTTTATGTTTCTTTATATTATGGTCTAGAACTCAAGAAAAAAATAATAATTGGTTTCTTTTTTTGGGAATTTAGAAATTACAGTGATGGCCTACTGAAAGTTGAACAATACTAGAGAGAGAACTTTTAGGCTCAAATTTTTTCTCCATACCTTTCATTTCCCTAGGTAATAGGTTGGTAGACAGCATCCACCCAGGTTTCGTGAGTCACCCAGGGAGGTAGGTACTACCGTCCTGCCAAGTGAGTGTAAAACAAAAACCTGTAATTGTTTTACATGATGGTAGGTGTCTCTTTTTTTTCTGTCTCATAAACATGCAAGATTTCAGGTATATCTTGCTACTTCTACTTAGGTCACACTACACATGCATGTACAAGCATATATATATACACACCCCTCTGAAGTTTTCTTCTGTTTTCTTGTAATAAAGTTGGTAGAATTACCGACAATATGTAAAGTAAAAGGACACAAGTGCAACTAATGTGACATTTTATTGTGGCAACGTTTCGCTCTCCAGGAGCTTTATCAAGCCATTACAAACAATACATGGACACAGAGGGTATATATAGGATCAGAGTGAGGTGCAATACTAGTGCAACACTTCGCCAACATCATCCCTTCAAGCGTCACTTGGTTACGTTATGTGGACGACGTCCTCGTAATAACTCCCAAACGTTTTGATGTACGGGATCTTCAGGCAAGGCTCAACGCAGTTGAACCGGCGATCCAGTTTACACTAGAAGAAGAGTCCAATGACAAGATACCTTTCCTCGACGTCCTCATTCACAAAGACAACAACCTAAGATTTCAAGTTTATCGGAAACCCACCAATAAAAATGATCTCACACACTTCTATTCCAGTCAAGATACCAAGACCAAAAGAGGCATCATCATCGGGTTTTTCCTAAGAGCATACCGAATTTGTAGTCCTGAGTTTCTTGATGAGGAATGTACATACATTCACCAAACATTCACTGAGTTACATTTTCCTTCTTTTTTCATCAAAGACTGCAAGAAAAGAGCTCTTCAGATCATTAATTCTCCACGCACCAACACCACTCCCAACAAAGTTATAATTCTTCCCAACAGCCAGGTTGCACTGAACGTCTCAAAAGTACTTTCACAAGCTAACACCAGAGTCGCCATCGCTTCCAGCACTTCAATAAAGGATCTAACCAGGACAAAATCCAAGCATCATGAACCAGTCAATGCAGGAGTTTACACTATACCCTGTGGAGGCTGTGACAAGATTTACGTAGGTGAAACAGCAAGAAACCTCGACACCCGCCTCAATGAACACATTTACGCATGTAGGAACGATAACTTGAACAACGCCTGTGTACAACACCGAAATTCCACCAATCATCTCGTGAAATTCAGAGACGCCCAATTAGTGATCAAAGAAACTAATTTCCATAGACACAAGTGCCTCGAATCAGCACTGATCGCTGTTTCGAATACAATTAAACAAAACAACGGCAGTTTCACCATCTCCGAAGTCTTAGCAAGAATTCTCCTGAAAACAGTAAACCCTGCCATCACATAGTCTCTCCTGTTATACTACACAAGCACATACAAGGAGTGAACACTGAAACAAGCTGCCTCTTTCCAGTCTATATTTGTCCAACCTATTTTTATGTTACCCAAGTAATAGCTTTTATATCCTTTTTCTCATGTACGAATTAATTGCTCTACCATATTGTATTACTTTTGTCACTACTACTACTACTACCACCACTAGTGAACATCGAAATGGTACCTCACTAGTATTGCACCTCACTCTGATCCTATATATACCCTCTGTGTCCATGTATTGTTTGTAATGGCTTGATAAAGCTCCTGGAGAGCGAAACGTTGCCACAATAAAATGTCACATTAGTTGCACTTGTGTCCTTTTACTTTACATTCTGTTTTCTTGCTGCTGCTGCTTCTCGTTTATTTCCGCTTTTCTCCATGGGGAAGTGGAACAGAATTCTTCCTCCATAAGCCATGCGTGTTGTAGAAGGTGACTTGAATGGCAGGAGCAAGGGGCTAGTAACCCCTTCTCTTGTATGTTTTACTTAATTTAAAAGGAAAACTCTCATTTTTCCTTTTTGGGCCACCCCACCTTGGTGGGAAGCAGCCAGTGCATTGAAAGATCTTTCAGTGCACATGAAAGGCCAGTCAAATATACCATACTGCCAGGACTCAGTTTTGAGTGGTAGGTGCCTGAGCATTTAGCAGGCATGTATGAGCATATAAGATCAGAGTTGAGATCAGTGTTTTTAGGGTTTTACATGGTGTCAGCTCTGTATGACCCCTTGGGTTTAATACTTAACTTGATTATATTTATATTATGTGGTATTGGAGTAAGAGTTAGGAACACATTGGAAAGAATTTAGGGAAACTGGTTAGCTAGCATTGCAGATAAAAAAAGTATAATGCCTACACTCTGTGCTCTTTTGGTAATATGTATGACTATTGAATGAGTAATGATGAATGTTTTCTTTGTTTCCCCAAAGTTGAGTCACCTTACCATAGTGGTGGGGTTTGTGGTTCATATCTAGGGCAAGTGTAGGGCCTCTTCTCTGGGAGGGATGCTTCTTTTTCCACAGGTGCTTGCCATACTAAGAACCCATCATCTTTTGACATAAATGGTGGTATATTTTCCCTTGTCTAAATTTTCGTAACACTTCTGGCCACTGACATGAAATATTTTATGGACATGGATGGCAGAATGTAAAGTTTTACTTGCATTGTGCTCATGATTTATGGAATATGAGAGTGACTTGATCATGACAGTAGGAAGTTGATATTGTTAGTGTAAATTTCTTATATGTTAGAAGCAGAATATGTTTAGCACTGAATATCCAAAAGGTTCTAGTTCTTGGTCTTATTACTTTTCCTTTTATATCCATGGGGAAGTGGAATAAGAATCTTTCCTCCGTAAGCCATGCGTGTTGTAAAAGTCAACTAAAATGCCGGGAACAATGGGCTAGTAACCCCTTTTCAAAGTGGGAAGTCTGAATGTGCGTGGATGTTGTGCAAATGATAAGAAAGAGATGATTGTGGATGTTATGAATGAGAAGAAACTGGATGTCCTGGCTTTAAGTGAAACAAAGCTGAAGGGGGTGGGAGTTTCAATGGAGAGGAATAAATGGGATTAGGTCTGGGGTTTCAAATAGAGTTAGAGCTAAAGAAGGAGTAGCAATAATGTTGAAGGATAAGCTATGGCAGGAAAAGAGGGACTACAAATGCATAAATTCAAGGATTATGTGGAGTAAAATAAAGATTGGATGTGAAAAGTGGGTTATAGTAAGCATATATGCACCTGGAGAAGAGAGAAGTGTAGAGGAGAGAGAGAGATTCTGGGAAATGTTGAGTGAATGCGTGGGGAGTTTTGAATCAAGTGTGAGAGTAATGGTGGTTGGGGATTTCAATGCTAAAGTGGGTAAAAATGTTATGGAGGGAGTAGTAGGTAAATTTGGGGTGCCAGGGGTAAATGTAAATGGGGAGCCTTTAATTGAGCTATGTGTAGAAAGAAATTTGGTAATAAGTAATACATATTTTATGAAAAAGAGGATAAATAAATATACAAGGTATGATGTAGCACGTAATGAAAGTAGTTTGTTAGATTATGTATTGGTGGATAAAAGGTTGATGGGTAGGCTCCAGGATGTACATGTTAATAGAGGGGCAACTGATATATCA